GTGCGGAGATAACTGACACGTGCTCGAAGCTGAATCATTTAAACGGACATTTCGAAAATGACGACATTGCATACGTGATTCCGAGGGACGCGGACGATTTAATAATATTCAAATATTTGAGTTTTACTCGACCTCTTTCCCTCCGCCCGAGAAGACTTTAGCGGGAGACGTTTTTAGAGAAAAGGGACACCCTTTCGAAGAAACGTGAAGCGTGGAATGGTCGGCGTTACTGTCGGGATTTTCTGGTCTACCAAATTCTTTTGATTCGCCGACATTCAAATATTTAAGCCGCCGTTCCGAATCCGTATTCGCGAATCGACAAGTTGTCACGCGCGGCGGAAAAAAACTCGCGGCGAGAGCGCTAAATAAAAAAGGCCCGGTCTAATTGACACATTGTCGGTTTATATTACCCGAGAAACGGAAGTTCTAATTCCGTTAATTTCGCCGGGATATCCAAGCGTCGTGGAGCAGAATCGGATATCAACTCCTGGTTGAAACGGCCCGGGGTCTTTTATTCGACCTCGGGATTTCTCAAGAAAGTCCACGCCGCGCCATTATTCAGAGAGAGAAGACTTTTTATTGTACTCTTCCTCAGTTCTTATTTCCGCGATGAAAACCAGATCTTGAAAAATATACAGGGTGTATCAGGCTCGCCGCGCAGATCCTTTCATCTGCAGACGTAACCGGACTTTTTTTATTTATTTCTTTTAATTCTGAGACTTGTGGACTTCAGCATAGTGATTTCTCTTTCTCGCTCTTTATGTTCGCTTCAGCGGTTAAGAATTCAAGTCTAATTTATCTCGTGCGATCAAACGAGGTTATAGTTTTGTTTTATGAATGCTCCGAACTGTGACACACCGAGGAAATCGCGAATGCCGCAGAAAGGAATTCGAACGCCAAGATTTTCCTCGAGGGCCTTTTCGCAACGAGAATCGAGGCACGGGTTACTGTTTGTTTTTATTCTTGACTCTATAAATATCATAAGTCGCTTTCTTTCCGCGCCGCTCAAATGTTTATGCTGTTCGTTCGCCGGCGAATCAACGGCCGTTGACTGTCTCGCGGCGCGAAAGAAAAGAAACAGTTACGCAAATCGAAACCGGCGACGCGCGTGGTTATCGAGATTTTCTCGTACGTCGACCTCGACTGATCTCCAAGTGGCAACAGTCGCCACTGGGCTCCCTTTCTCGTCGACCTCTCGGCAATTAAATTACACGTGGTCCACGTGCGCAGAGAAGGCGGGAGAAGAAAAAGATCCTCGCGCCGCGTCCGCGCTGGGATACTTGCTCGGCTCCATTTGCGAAATTAGAGATCTATTCGTCCGCGAGAGATGGCAATCGCTCTTGGAGAGCAAAGGTGACGCGGCACAATGGTGACGCGTCAATCTCTCACCCTCTGCTTACCCGCATTCTCCCTCCATCCCTCCAGAAGTCTCCCCCCCTGCCCTTCGCGCTCCCTTTTTGACCTCCCGCCCGTTTCTTCCTCAGCGTATCTGCCCTACTTTCCTTCTCATCTTTTCTCATTTGTGTGAGAATTCATCACCGAAAAAGAATTCACTGGTCGCGCCGGCGTCGCTCTGGACGTTGGTCCATTGAATTCTCTCTCTCTCTCTCTCTCTCTCTCTCTCTCTCTCTCTCTCTCTCTCTCTCTCTTTGTTTGCACGGAAGAGATCCTAGATAGAGTAAAAGATGATCTTTCGTCTAAACACGGTTATCCGATTATAATGCGCAAAGTACTAAGATGCCGACCGAGCGAGCGATACAGGCCGTTGCATATCTTTAGTCAAACAGTAGAAGAAAAAGTTTGAACACAGAAGTGGTTATTCCGTGTCCACGTGTATTGTCATTGTGTCGGGGGACGATTTTGGTATGCGCGAGAGAAAACTGACATCTACTTTTCTCTCTTGGTCGCGTCCGATTCCTCTCTCTTGCTCTCTTTCTCTTTCTCTCTCTCTCTCTCTCTCTCCGATCTCTCGAGAGATGCTTGCTTAGAATAATTCGCGATCTCTTGGTCGAGCGTGGGCGTGGCGTGAAGGGATGCGAGGAATGGGATTGCGGACCGGGTCAATAACCACTCCTCGTCAAATTTTTCAGCAAAGTAATTTTATTTCTCTCAAGTCTCTCCTCCAAACCTCCCTTTCTCTTTCTTCCATTAACTCAAGATATACACAGGACCGTCGTTTCGCTCTCTTCGCCTCATCGAGCTCGCGACGTTATTTACAGGACACCGTTGCCGACCGTCCCGGCGTGGTGCAGTAATAAATAACGGCAATAATCGTAATAATAATAGACTAATAATAATCGTAATAGTACTAAAGACGGCGACAGTAATAGCGGTGTCCCTTACTCGCAATTATAATGATAGTGCTAATTTACAAATCGGGAAATCAGGCTCTCTCTTTTCCTCGCGATGCTCTGACGGACCTTTCGTGCGTGCCCTTTTCTTCTTTGTAATATCTATATTTATATGTATATGTATATATATATATTAAATCCTGTCGATATATTGTTTCTCCGTAGGTGCTATTTACAAAATTTACGGGTCTAATCTCTAAGCTATTTACAACCATAGAGTGCGCCCGGCCGCCGTGCCTGCACAACCGACGAATAAGGCCCCGCGCGTCCGCCCTGTGTTCCCTCGCGTCACGCTTTCTCGTTCTCCATTCCACCCCCCACGTTCTTTCGATTTGTTAGTTTGTCGGGGGCTGCGCGGGCACGGCTCCGAAGTAACAAAATAAATACTGACTAGCCCGTCCTGGCGTCTCCGCCTCGAGCGGCGGCGGCAGCGGCGAACGAACGGACGTCGGTCGATGAGTGAAAGCTCGCGTGACTCGAACGTTTGAAATTGACAAATTAATTAATAATAAATTAATAGAAGCTTCTCTCTCTCTCTCTCTCTTCCTCTCTCTCTTTGCACGGAACGGTTTCCTCTGCTAGAGATGTGAGTGCGTCGATAAGCGACGACACTGAATGCTCATTTCTGTCATTCGTGCGTATAAAGCGTATTGTACTTCTCTCTCGTACAGGAACAAGCATTCGAACAACTGCGTCGCGATTGTCTTCAAGTATTTTTCTGGCGTTTCGTCTGCTGCCGTTCGGATTACAAGACGCCCTCTTCTGGCAACTAGCTTGTCGTATAGTTATATAGTGATGAGAAAGTTTTTTTTTTTCTTAAGCACAGTGCGTATAGAGTTGTCTCTCTCTCTCTTTTCTAACTACCATTTCTCTAGAAATGTGAAAAAACTAGCTACAATTTTTCTCGAGGCCAGTGAGGGAAGCATCGTGTGATCTGAATCTCTGAGAATTTTCCCGACGGCTGGGAGCCGTCGGGCGACTATCTTTAACAAGTGGCGTTAAGTCAAATTAGTCAGTATTCAAGAAGCACGTTAGCGCGTTCTGAATTCTCGCTCTAGAAGACTGTATAAAAATTGAACGCGCGAATAACTGACCGGCTTTGCTTACCGCAACCCATCAAAGGTCCGATAATTTTGCCCGGTGCTACAAGTATATCAAAGCTTACGAGCACGATACACAAACTAAATGCCAAATCAGAAATCGCGGCAGCGCGCACACTCTTGCAGAGAAAATGGATTTCGAATCACGAAGCACACACAGCCTTAGTGTCAATGTCAATGGAATACCTGGTGCTACGCCTCCGTCCGCTCGCCGGAATCCGCAGGGCGCCAGATAATCTACGACGATAACCTTAGACAGGACGCAGCTGCGTCCCTTTTACGCTGCGACGTCGCGTCGCGTCGCGTCACATCGCATCGCGTCACGTCACGTCGCGTCGCGTCGCGTCGCGTCGCGTCACTTCACGTCGCGTTACATCACGGCCGCGGAACAGGAAGATAGCACACGACGCCCGGTAATCGAGTGTCGACCTTGGCCGACGCGCGAGATACTCGCGGAGATATGTTGGAGCTTCCGCCTCGGGGTACTGGCGTTTCGGGGCTCTCGCCCGGGAACCGTCCGGATCCCCGGAACGGTGCACCGGCTACGCCCCTACGCCGCCACGAGGCTGTCGATCGACGGCCAGGACGGCACGTGTCACGTGTCCTGGACGTGCAGGTAGACGTCCTGCTCCGGCTGACTGAGGAGGTGGTGTATCTGCTGCATGGTGCAGAGCGGACAGACCTCCTCCTCGGTGCCGTCGGCGACGAGCCTCCTGGCGGCGCCGGGCGCCCTTCTGCCGTAATCGACGATGTACGAGTAGCCGTCGGAGTCGATCGAGCTCGAGCGTCGCGCGGCCGTCGATCGCAACAGTCGCCTGCCGCTGCCGGGGGGATTCGGGGCGGCCTCGGCGCGAATCCTGTATCTCGCGGACTCCAGTTCCGAGTCCTTGAAGTCTATGTAGGAGTAGCCCTCGGAATCTACCGAGAGTCGCCTGCGGCCCTCCTCTTGGACCGTGAACCTCGACACCACGACGAGTTCCGCCGCCGGTCCTCTGGGACTCGACGGCGCCCGTGCGGGGGAGGCGCGCGGTCCAGGTCGGTGGGTGGGAGTGATGGGGATACCGGAGTCACGGGGTCTCGCGGGGACTCGCACGTCGGCCGGATAACCGTCGAGGTCCCGATGACACGACGGCAACTCCCCGCGGGGGAACACGGGCGAGGGGGGCCGCTGGCTCGTGATCAGGGCGTTTTGCGTGGCCAGCAGCAGGTGACTGTCTCGCAGAAGGTTGTTCTCGTTCCGCAGCAGCAGCGGGCTGTTCGCGCCAGCGCCAGCGCCGCCCGGAGCGAGCCGAGCGGCGGACGACTGGGCGGTGGCGGCGATCGACAGCGGTACCCCCTGAGACTTGGCCAGAAGGGCGCGCGGCGTCCGGTAGCCGCCCAGGACCGCCCGCGACGGCTTGTCCTGGACGCGCAGTATCGACCTAGGGTCGCGATAATCGAGATAGTCGAGGTGATGCGGCTGCGGCGGTCTCGTTTCCCTGCGTGCAGGTAGCAGCGGTGGTTCGCGTGGCGGCGGGGGGACCCGCGGGCGGGCCTCGGGATTTCGTACCTCGATCGTCGGCGCCTGGCCGTGGCTCGTCGGCAGGTGATTATGCAGCTGCGAGTGCGACACCGCGTGATCCTGCAGGTCCTCGTAGAGCACGGCGCCGCCGGCGCCGCCGCCGCCGCCGATGCCGGGGCCCGGATGCGGCTGGCCGTCCGGCAGCACGCGACCCCGTCCGGCGACCGCCGCCGCGCCCGCCGCGCTCTTGCACGGCAGCAGGTTCTGTACTTTCCGTTTGTGCCTGTAACAGACGAGGGAAAGCGATGTTATTAATTTATGTGCAAGATCGCCGCATCGGTCAAGGTTCATCGAGATGACATTTAGATTTGGAATTTTCAGTTTCTTATATCTTGAAGGTAGAGGAAAGTCCTCTATCGTGAGATAGGCTTCTAATATAAGATAACAGGTTTTCAACATCCAAATTCAATCGCAACCTTTCCTTCGCGACGATCACACGATCTAACAATGCATTTTCCACTAGACAGATTTCACCCCCAGGGCAATCAATTCATGATGGGACCAACGAATATTGTCTACTAATTTGGTAGAAACCCCGCTATCTCATATTAGAAACATATCTCACGATAAACGCACTTTCTTCCAACAATAGATCTTTAGTTGTTCCCGCGCGAGTTAAGCTATATAGTGGATATAAACGAAGCTGCGCCCCGTGTTTTCTAGGACAACGGAGGGCGTTTTCTTCGGAAATATCCCTTTCCTTTCGCGCAACTCTTGCAAATTCAGACACGCGTTTCAAGTTAAATTCGGTCAGTCGGGACGATTCTATACGTAATGCTTCTGGTTTCATTCGAAACACCATCTCGGAAAGCTCGCAGCAAATTCCTCAAGTTGGACGAGCGGAGGATGTTGATATTCTACTTTGCTCTCATCTCCCGCTCCCTCTCCACCCTTCACCCCGCCGTCGACCAGCCCCCGTCGACACACCAGATTAGTTGGGAGCTCGTTGCAATTGTTTGTACAGGCGGGCGCTTTGCTGTGGGCGCGCTCGAGAGCTTTCCTCGGTGTAAACTTTAATGAATCGGGCACTGCGTTTGCCTATCAGCGTCGTTTTACGCTGTATACAGGGTGTCCCGCGCCCGTCGCGCTCCCTTTTACCCTCCGATCGTTTTCCCGTTGACACTTTTGTCAATGAACCTATCGAACTGTCGACGGTTGTCGAGCGATCGGACGATCGGGACAATCGGACGATAGAATTCGTCGCGACTCTAACAATTTTGGAATTCTCCCAAATTTGTAACAAAAGGACGAGACCGAAGGTAATATTAGATTTTTTAAAAATTGACTTTATTGCGACAGACATTTAATCGTTTGAACAAGTAGAGTTAAATAGGAACATTGTGATGTAAATCAAACAAACGAAAGCGCCTTTAGGTCCAAGCAAGATGCTGGTAGCTCAATTAATTGTAATCTAAAATGCGAAGTCGTGTACCGTTTTCCACCTTGCCCTGCGCGCCGGTTTCTTTTCGGACATAACACAGTTTCATTTAGATGGAATCATTGTCGTCGTTAAATTCACGTATTAAACCGTATAAACGATTTCTAATTATTTTATTAAAGTGCTACATTTAACCGTTTAATATTTAATACGAAGGAATAAGGAGACGCGATAATTTCGAGATACCCGGTACATCTGACGGCTCCTCGCCGCATTCATCATCTCCTACGCGAATTAACATATGCTCGACGAGCGCATAATAACGCGGTCGTGATTGCTACTTGGCCGGTATCTGCGCGATTGTACAAATACACATCTGTAATATGCGCGCAAATTGGCCTATACTCTCACTTCGAATTAGCATCGCATCTTGCGCGGAATGCGGGCAATCTAATTCGGAATTGTGCTAAATCTAACATACGCGGACAGTCGCGTTCGCGCTGTTGAACCAGGCCGTAAACTGCCGTGTCTTTTAAGGGGATCCCAAAGCCGTCTGTTTTATCGACATTCCTTGTTAGGAGTAATCTTTTAATTGGCTTCATAGAAATGCAAAACTCTTTTGCGGAATTAAAGTACGCAGCAAAATCTAGACTATGCTGGTCGACTTTATATCAAACACGAAAAAAAAGAATTCCATTCAAAATCTCGGTTTGAGCAATGTGTAGCTAATAAAATTGCTGCCTTTTCGTGAAAGTTGCGAATTGATTAGCTATAAATGTTTCGGAGCGAGAATAAAACTTGGAACTAAAAATGTTGAGAAGTGACGTTTTCAATTCCGTCTCCTGTCTTATCGACACTGATCGAGTTTGCCAGCGGTTTTAGGATTAATACGCGCGTATTTAGTCCGTCCCGAGAAAGGTGGTGGGACAAATTAAAAAAAATCAGGGAGCCGGCGGCTAATCATCTTTCTAAAATTTCTCGTTTCGAGATAAAGCTGCGGCGCAGTTAGCGGGCGATCATTTTTATGCATTTTAATATTTCGCGCTGCAAGCGCACTCTTTTCTCAATGCGATAAAAGGGATCTCGAGGATGCACGGGTAAAATGAAAACTGTTACGATACCCTCTCTCGCGTGTATCGTACACACGCTCGGATAAGATATGTCTGGCAGAGTCCGTCGAGCGTTAGCTGCGAAATTTCGCACATCGCAGAACCTCGAAGTGATACGCGCGCATCCCCGGGCCTGTCCATCACGGTCACAGTCGTCTCGTCCGCTAATCGCGGGGTTGCGCTGGCTAAAGCGTTTAAACTCGGCTCGCTCGACTGCGGGGATTCACTTATCCGAGAGAGGATTCGCGGTATAAACGCCCGACTCTGACGAGGGTCCCGAGAGTTCTGCCGACCGGAGATAATGATGCCGGAAACATACGGCCGCTGATCTCCGGTCGCTAGATTCCTCCTTTTTAAAGGGATTTCTTCGTCAACGTGCCGTTGGCGCCACTTAGTCGTAAATCACAAGAGAAATTACGTGTAATTTATTTAATCCTATATTATCCTATAATACGCGTTACAGAATACTGCGCTGAGTAATTAAGGAGGAATATCAGTGTCCCCTGTGACTTTGGAAATACGTCGTTGAATTTCAAACATTTTCAGGCCTTCATAGATGAATAATAAAGTAACTTTTCGTTCCCCTTGTGGAAGAACAAGATGGTCGCGTTAGCTCTTTGATAAGTGGAAATCTATCTTGTGGAAGTAGAAATATAATTTGTGGAACATTTCTTTAGCGGTTGATTATTATTAACATTTTATAGAATGTCACGAAATTGGAAAATCGTATTTTTACGCTCACTTTGAAAAATCTGGAAATTATCCGCGGATTCGCGGCGAAACGAGGAACATGTGTGACTTGGCGAAAAACCCTATCGATCTTTCTTCATAATTATGCCCTCAAACGTGGGGGATCTTCAGTTCGCGATCCTCCGCCGTGCATCTTTCAACGTATAACGCGGATACCGATGGTATCCGCGTGTATACGTTCATGTATATTCAAAGACCGGGGCGCCGCTCGGCTCGCAAAGTAGTTTACCCTTCAAGTTTTAATTATCTAATTAACTCCGTCAGTTCGATAATATTTGCCCGTGTAATTAAACCACAAGCTAAGGTTAACAACTCGCGCTGCACTTTCAGCAGTGGGTCGAGATGAAGTTGAGAAAACGGGAGAGATCCGCGCGTCTTCTGGACCGAAAAAGAGGGGGCGAGAAAGGGCGAGGTGGGAAGGTACGCGGATGAGAGGACGGAAAAGGTAACGGTGTAAATACGGACTGATCGATATTATCGGGATCGCTGAATATGATTTCTGCCTCGTGACTGCGCTAGGCGTATAGTGCGTCGGCTTGCATCGGGAGCATTGTGTAAACAACATTCGCGGATGACTTGAGAGTAGACTCGTTCACGTCGAGCGTTGCGTTTGCATACGAATACGCACATTATTCGACGGTAGACGCGATACTTTCTCACAAACGGCGAGAATTTCATTTCTCACCGAGCGCACTCGTTGCTTCGCTAAATTCTCAAATCGGGAATATCAAACTCGGGTAATTTGCTGGAACGTAACTTGACTCTTTCTGTATTCCCGTCGATATCGCGTTTGCGTCTGCCACGTCGACTCCGCGCTTCGTCATCGTAAAGATTTTTCATTACACTCGCTCGCAACTGGCCGCCGCGCCCTATTCCATTTCCTAATAGATTTTATTTAGTCACGATGATACGGGGAACGGCAGTGCGGTCGCCGAAGGGGGCGACGAGATTGAAGAAAGGCCCGGCCGGCGACGCGGGAAACGATCCAAGCCGGTTTCACGCTCTCCATTGATTTCCAAAAGCGCACGGAAGAAATTAAATTAATTTCCCGACTGAATTAAAGAGACGCAGAAGACATTCCCGAGAACGAGGATCCGAGGAAAGTTATCCTCTTCAGCTAACATTTTCCTCGCGTGAAAAAGAGCTGGAGAAAATATACACTTGAATTCCTACAAGAAAGTTCTTTATCTACATTTCAAGTAACAAGATCTCGTAGAAAATACCATTTCCCTAACTTTAATTTGCTTAACGTTCAACTGCGCGGTACGACGGGTTCCCGGTGCAAAAGCGGCCTAAGTCCGAGGCGAGACGACGCGGCGCGGGACAACGTAGTGAACGTAGTCGCGTGCGATACACAGTGCTCCTCGGGATCTTCCTCAGCTGGGTGGAATCGACGGAGCACCAAAGTGAATTCGCTCGCTGCTAAGCGCTGAATAGGTCATTTAAGCCGGGCTTTTAACTCGGGCTAATTAACTACCATTTCCCACCCGTCGTTCGCTCGCTCGCTCGCTCGCGCGACATTTCTCTCTGTTTCCTTCGACTTTTCCGACTCGCACACATTTTCAGACGACATACGTGACGGAACAGCAGTTTGCCAACCGGCGCGCCTTTGATACATCACTCTGGGCACGGGAATAATGCGAGCGATAAAACAATGGATCGGTATAGCGTTGGATAGCAAGTGTCAATTTTATCGATTATTGAAATTATTCCAATCATTTTGCTATATTGGTATGCCGTTGTGAAATATATCTTATCTTGTTACGATAACGATGCATTTATTTCGTGTTCATCCAGTCTCGTCGTCTGCCTTTAATGGGAGCCTATTCTAATTACATTTATTACTCCAATATTTCTGTCAGTTATAATTTAGTTCTGCTAAATCTCGTTATACAGGGTGTTCTGTAATAACCGCCTCGCCTCTTATTTACGGATAGAGCGGACTAGACTGAGTTGAAAAGTCCTGTACCATTTTACAATTTTCGC